TGCTGCCAAGGCTAAAAACCACCAAACTATACCTAAACCCTGAAACGTCTATACTATTAAACTAGATGCACTTAAGTTTGACCTGTTCAAATTGCATTTAGTCATTAGCCATGATATAAATACATTTTTACATTAAAATGACTAAAATGTTTACCACTTCGAATTGAAAAATGATTCAGTTCATCGAATATGCGAGTCATAAAGCTTGCATTTGAACGCGCGACCTGATTAACGCGACAGATTCGTGACGTGAAGTCTTTATATCATCATGGCATCTCTTTAATGCCATTTAGGTAAATTGCTTTGCACTGTTGAACGCCTGATAATTGCTGATTTTGATTGATCTTCGAATGAAACAATCTATGATTAAAGCAGTTAACTCATTAAATAATTGATGTTGGTTTGTAATTAGGGAATTGTCACAAGCATGGCTGACTTGTTTTGAGGGAAAAACATTTAGAATGAGTAAATAAACAGACATAGAAATGAGTAACGGGATAGAAACAGATGCAGTAAGAAACTTGCATTATATATCATCCGTCCACCACTGAAACCTTACTCACCTTACTTGTTTTTTGGTATGAGACATTTTAGCTTTGATGTATAAAATTTGGTGAACATTTTCTGCCGCCATGAATCATATTGCAGATAAACAACAATCTACTAAAATCTACTGTGCTGTTATCATGTTTACATTACGAGGCATCAACTTTATAATGTAATGTTTCTTTTTTATATAGATTGGCGGGATTTTGTTATCGCTTGCTTTTATTTTTGTCATTGTCACATATTGAGGGAATCTGTATGTAACTTCACCTAGGGTATGGTTTGGTTACTTAAATACAAATATATATATTAGGAATCCATATATTTTCTTTGAAACCTTTTTATATCTTATTGATTACTTTGTTCAAATATTGTTGTGATCCGTAATATGCTACCTCTTGTAAAAAGAGTCTGAGCATCACGATGATTGACACGAAATATTTGCAACAGCCCCTTTTGTACGATGCTTTTAGAAGTGCATGTAAAATTTATCATGGTACTTGTATAACATGTAGTATAATTAATTTTTTTGTATAAATTTGTTTTATGAGCATATTTTAACCGTTTAATATTAAAATAAATCAAATGATATAGTAAAAGGAACACATGAGATCAAAATTTGAAATGATATATACATGTAATTATGAATCGTTCTGCAGTAAATGTAATCTCATTTGTTCTCTAAACATTGTTGATGACAAAATAAGAGAGATTAAAATAAAAGCCGAATCTTCCAAATATGAATGGTTAAGTTGTTGTTGTTGTTGAAGATGATTATTTTTTTGTAAATGAGAAAATTGTACTGCAATATTTCAAACATTTGGATAGTTAAAAAGAACTTTGATTATTTAAAAACAGTGTAATGTTACATTATTAATAAAAGATTTCTTATTTCTTTTTGTAAAATCAATCCAAATAGTAATAAATATGAAATAAACAACAACAAAAATGACAGAACAAAGACGCTTTATTAAGTTTAAACAGACAGATATATTAAACAAAGTAACAAATCAAGTTAAAACTCGTATATCAATTTAAGCCACATCCTGTAGGACTTGAAAAAAAATTCCTGAAGTTCGAAAAGTGCGAGATAAAAATGTGGGAATAACACTTTCGTTTCTTGGGAAAATATGTTTTTGTTCAAGGTTTGGTCTTGTGTGGTACATCATATGACAAAAACGTTACGATGTTTTTGCAGACATGCGATAGTTAATGTCAACAAAGGTGCAGCAAATCAGATGATTATCTTGTTAACTGAGGACAAACTAGTTTACCTACCTTATTAAAACTTGATACACTTACATTGCTTATATTGTTAGGGTCGGAAAAAAGTTAAAACCCAAAAACATCCGAAATATCGTAATTGTCAAAATGATAAGGAAAATGCGTTGTCAATTATATCAAGTATCTGATTGTTTTGTCGTTATAGATTCGTTGAAACCACAAAAGCGTTAAACTAAAGTTGGAAACAATGTCTTTGTTACATCGATTTCATATATCTAAAACACCAAACTTGTGAAAGCTGAAATCATTTTATGAAAAGAAAAAACATTTTTAAGACTATTAAGAACGTTTTTCATCTTTGTGAAGCTTACTCCATCGTATTTACCAGAAAATAGTAATATCCCGATAAAATTTATCCCGATTATGTGAATATACAATACATTTACTTTTGTAAAAGTGTTACATTGAGAGTAAACTTTTAATTGTTTTAGTTATGATTTTCTTGTTTTATTCAATTATTAGAAATATGTACCGGTATGTGCTCGTCCCGTCGTAATTGTTTGTAAATCATGACAAACCTGACGCGAATAGTAAGGTAGGAATTTGCGACGTGAGACGTGTAATTATGTAAATATCAAGTTTTGATATTAACTTAAGTTTCAAGTCGATGAAAGGTATTGTACTATATGATACGGGAGATACTGTTTAGATAAAGTGATAAATTTAGATAGGTAAAGATTAAAATTTCTCTCTCATCTCCTTTCTACACTTTGCAAATGAAAGAAGTAAGCCTGGACTCGTTTATTTCAAAACTGTCACAGGTCCTTTGATCTCAAAACTTAAAAGAACAGGTAACAAATGGAAGAAACTTTTGAAAATTTAGCATCAAAGTATCCGCCCGTTAAAAAGAAAAGAAGAAAAAAAGACGATTTTTGAAGTGATTTTTTGCCTTTTTTTCTTAAGATATAGCCTAATGATTTGTCGGTGGGAAGTTGTTAAAGGTGCACATAGAGGACAGGTGTTAGATACGTCGTGTTATCAATCAATTCACTCGTCTTCTAAAGGATGTACAGGTTAAACATCGGACAGAATATCACCGCCTTTTGATTATTAAAGAAACCGTTCGTTTCATCTTTTAATCGTTCAGATATGGACGTGTGAGACAGACACATTTGAACATTATTCATGTGATAAAAAGCAGATAGGCACGTTGTAGATCTATGTTTGGTTAGCATCTTACAGTTTAGAATTTACTAGTGGCCAATTTAATAGACAAAAACGAATTCCCTAAAGAAAGCCGAAAATGTTGCTGGGTCGGTTGGCTTGAGCCTGTCATGGACTTTATGTTGTCGGGTTATAAGTGCCTCTGAGTGTATGGTAATGGAATAAAATGCGATTATTTTGTATTTGATCATGCGTTACCTTCACATGGTCATAAATTAACATATACTTCAATAACTAAATTAATGTCTCAAAGTTGCAGTGTGATATCAAATAAATGCCTATATATTGACCTTGTTGTTACATGGTCAATATATAGGCATTTATTTGATATCACACTGCCACTTTGAGACATTAATTTAGTTATTGAAGTATATGTTAATTTATGACCATGTGAAGGTAACGCATGATCAAATACAAAATAATCGCATTTTATTCCATTACCATACACTCAGAGGCACTTATAACCCGACACTTACATTTTTCGGTATAACTTGGTTATTTGTGAACGGATGTTATTCAATTTTCGAACATATAAAATTCAACATATCATACTTTATTTCCTAGAATTTTATTTCCAATTCATTATCAAGAAAATAGAGAAAATAACAAAACAAATATGTTACTGCAAAATGAAAAATCACAAAATGACTGTAAATATCGTAACAAAATGAAAAGTCTCTAAATCCAATTGATTCTGTATAATAAACAGTTCTAATACTTTCTGTGTCATCCCATGGCTATAACAAAGTGAAAACACCTGTCTCATGGTTATGACGCAGTGAAGGGTTGGGGAATATTTCTTCATTCCTGAATAAGGGCTTCCTCGAGTTCCAGCAACTCCTGCATCCCAAGTCACCAGATCTAAACATCACACTTGTCGGCTGAATTGAACAGGCGTGTGAGACGCTTGCGGCCAAAAGCTCCTCGCAATTTGCTGGAACACGAGCAAGCCTTATTTAGGAATAGAGAACTGTGAGGCAGAGGTGTTTACTTTGTTAAAGCCAATTGGGAGGACATACAAAGTATTAGAACTGGTAAACATACAGATTTAATGGGATTCAGAGACTGTTCATTGTGTTACGATTTTTACAGTCATTTTGTGATTTTTCATTTTACAGTAGCCTATTTGTTTTGCTATTTTTTTCTATTTTCTTATCGATGAATTGTAAATATAATTCCAAGTAGTAAGTATGATATGTTGAATTTGGTATGGTCCAAATGTGAACAAAATCCATTCACAAATAACCTATTTATACAGAAAAATGTCATTGTCGGGTTATAAGCTCCTCTGAGTGTATATTGTACAACGATAGTAACAAATAAACTGAGTATTTGCTAAATTTTTTTTCTGGTACTGCTTGTATATTCACAAGTTTAGTTTTGGCTAATCCTGGTGCCACATTTGCTTTTGAATGTATTCATTTTTTTCTTTTTGGTAACATTCTTGATAAGATCATGTCCTTTTTTCTTGTTACTATTGTCATTTTCTTAATCAGAAATATATGTATTTGTGTCAATTTTTGAAGATTTCATATTATAGTCAATAATATTGTATTAATAAACGTTACTTTATTAATGTACTGAATTTAAGATTGTAAGCTGCTTTTGCAAAGAGCTCTTCGTGGAGCCTTTGACGTAAATTTATAATGCAGTTTATTTATGTGTTTCTTTTCCACAAAACATGATGATAGGTTGCATATGTTCGGTTAAAGGTATAGGTATGATACGATATTTATCAAGTCGGCTGACTGTGTGGTGTGCCCTATGCCACTCAAACAGAAAAAAAACAAAAACAAAAAATAGTCAGAGGGGAACTTCATTGTTTTTGTGATTTCATTAACTTGGCACACCTTCTTTTAAATATTTGCTTGAAGATTATCCGAAGTAAATATATCTTCACTGCCTTGTAAAATATACACATCATAAACTTTAAATATTGTACTGTCTGCTCATAGATGCACTTCCCGGTGCTCAGAACAGTGACTATATAACAATAGCAACAACAATAAAGATTCTCGTTTTATTCATTTTTGAACATTTTATATGTACACAAAATACAACAATGTCTTAAAACATTATAAGTGAATAAAAAGAATAATAAACAAAAACACAAGCACTGCTATGATGCCAAAGGCGGTTCAAATAAACTCTGGCAATATTACACAACAAATAAAAAGGAGAAAGTAAACATTTATACATATATAAGTTAAGTACATGATCACAGAAAAATAAAATGTTTGGTCCCTCTCCGTTTGTTGTGAAATCGCTAAAACGCAATATTTGCCAGGTAGCAAAAGTCAACACATGGCCAATAAAGTTTTGCACATGAGGTATTTTCAATGTGTCTAACTTCACAAATGCCTCGCGACAACGAATAGCAACAAACACAGCAGACAATAATTTGACTTGGAAAGGTTCACCAGTTACGAAGTTACAGCAATTAGTCTGTAAAAACAAATCACTAAAGTACAAAGGATTTGCCCGTGAACATTGTCGTTTTGTTGTTGTTATTTTTCTTATCACGACACTCAAGGCAAGCATATAAATATATTTAAATGTCATTTATTCAACAAAATGTCATTTATTTAACACAATGTCATTTATTTAGCTGAATGTCATTTATTTAACAAATGTCATGAACTTGACGTTATGTCATGGACTTGACTCCACACCCGTTTTAAGAGTATTGCAACTATAAAATGTCATGTGAATGTTTTTTTTTTGCAATTGATCAATTTTCACTACAAGTTTCTGCATTCCTTTAATCACCCTTACTACTAAGAGATTTCAGCCATTCCGCCGTCGGTAAATTTTGACAGCCGAGATAGTTTTCACGAAGTTCCTGGTCTGTGAATTCTGGCGTGACGTCACAAGGTGCGCCAAATATAGTAGATTTAATAGCACCCTGGTCTCCTTCGCGCATGACCGGGGACGAGCTTTTTATTTCATTTGTGCTGTGCTGAAATGTGCAAAGAAGATACCATAATGTCAAATGGTCTTTTAAATAGTCAATATCTGTTTATTTTGCAAAGACGTTACTTGTACAACATAGTCATAATTGTATTATAAATGTTGTTTTCAGATGGTTTTTACAATGAACTTGTTTTGCATTTAATAAACAACAGCGTATAAAGTGGTTGTTTGTAGAAGTATTAATAATTTATTAGCACATAACATTACTTCAATTTAAACAAATTCAATTGAAAGATTGTCAGCACACAAGATTTCCAAATTGAAATCAAAGCGAATACTTTTTAAGTGCATTGTTTTCTTCATTGCACATGTTTAAATGTAGTTTGTACCGTTGAGATAACCACACTTAAATGTTCCCATCTGTTTTTATAAGTTTAAAATTCTTCACATTTATAACCACTTTCAACAATTAAGATATTAAATAAAAGTTCTCTAACTACTTTCAACAATTAAGATATTAAATAAAAGTTCTCATGAAAGATTAGTCATTTATTGTGGTTACAATCGACCGCATAAACCACATATAGAGTATCAAAGTGAAATGACAGACCGCTACAATGGACTTCGAAAAGGATTTATCAATGAACTATCTATTCGAAAAATATGATGCTCCTGCTTCGTAAACAGTCGTACCTAAATAAAATCTGCACAATCTGTACATTAATTAATAACCGTTATAATAGAATCTTGTATTAGTGTAAATTGCACATTCTATCAGTTTTATATTGTACATTTACAATACATTACAAAGTAGGTAAATATTTCAATTATGGTATTCATAGAAACCAAGTTATGTAAACAAACTAGTAGCGTAGTAGCAGCAGCAGCAGAAGCAGAAGGAGGAGACATAAATGAAGAAAGAAGAGATGCGCCAACTGACCTCATGAACTTGTCTGGAACAGTCTTGTTTATGATTGGCCTGTACCCAGTGTATAGTGTAATCATCATTGAATGCATATTCATGGTCCTTTCCGCTCGCAAATACAATAACATTCTTGTGAGCATGAGAGTTCTTGAAAGCTTGAGCAATTTCACCGGCATAGCTTTGGTCTATAACGAGGTGAACTTTGCGAGCTTCGCAGAATGCCAAGTCGGACTGAAGTTCATCAACAGTATATTGTTCATCATCATCCGCCTGGAGAATATAAACTGTATTAATATCACATGTAATTGTCATACGCCAATGATTTTATTATCTACTGATGTCGACATATACGAAATATGCTAAGAAAGTTCGTAAACTGCAGCTCTAATGTTATATCTTTAAATTTGCGTACATGAGGCTTATTTAGGAATGTGTAGTCTAAATACAGTGAAAAACGCAATACAGTTTGTTTACAAATTTCAATTATGTGAAAATGTATTTAAAAATTCATGCAAAGTAGAAAGCAAAATCAAATATATATAATATATGTTTTTGGTAATGTTTAAATTCTTTGAATTCCGCAGCATCGTGCCTTTTTCCTAGAAATGTGCTACGGTTACCAAGGCAAGTCGTACACATGTTTTTGTCCGATGCTGGCTTTTCTGGTCAATAAAATACAAATATTCTGTTGTTAAAAAAAAAGAAAAAACACATACCATTCCGTCTCCATTGACGTCCCAAAGCAGAGAGGTACCGTCAACTTTTGTAGGACTATTCATATACAATAGAAGAGAATCGACACACTGCATGGTCTGACACATGGTCTGTATATGATACCGGAAGGCAAGTTTCATCGCTGCTGGAAGAACTTGATGGGGATGATCACCAGGAACTAAAACAGAGAAATGGGATTATTAATATGATTTGATGTGATGTGATATGATATGATATGATATGAAATGATATGACGTAATGTGATGTGATATATGACATAATATATTCTAATATAATGTAATACAATGTATAATACAATACAATTTAATGTTTTATTATAATATTGAAATATAAAAAATGGCACTGCCAAGTACGAACCTAATTAACTTTTCATACGTTATTGTGCATAAATTGTCAAAATTTCACAATCAAAACGGTTCAAAGACATTGGAAAATGAGAAAAAAGGAGAAAAAATTATCTTGAATTTTATAAAAAATCCACAAAGTCTCGTGCGACTAAACGCGCTATCGGCTAATAATTACTTTCAAGTTCACTAAAAACAGCGGGATCAAGTTTCTAATTAGAAGTGATATCGGGTGCCTTTGGATTTTAACGAAATATGAACCGTTTGAAAATGCCGCAAAATGTAAGTTCATTTGTTACATTAATACATTCAATGAATCTTGCGGAGAGCTTTTGTTAGAGTGAAATATTTGTCGATTTCAACAATCACTTTCTCCTAGCCTTCCCATCGATCGAGAAAAGGGTAGTTTGATACAAAAACGTTTCTTTATGCATAACAATAAAATATGTAAGGTGTATGAAATAGTTTTATTATGTCGTGATAAGTACAGAGGTAGCCTATCTCATTTATTTTGGCCTCATGTAGGTAAGGTATGCATCCTACTGTTAAAGCCAATAAAAAGGTAGATTAATTATACATAATATGACATTCAAAGCTTAGTGTGACATGGTTTTATCAGACCGGTTGTCTAATTAAATATTATTGAATTCTCCTTAATAAAACAGAAGTTTCAGAAAATATTTCAGCATATTTCACAAATTATTTTGCACTTAAAAATCACCAACTATATACAGACGATTGTCATTTTTCAATGGCCATATGATCACCATTTATATTGCTGATCATATAATTTCTAACTTGAAAGAAACGAGAAATAAATGTGGGAATAATGTATCTCTCAGTCACTGGAACTGCCATTATATCCGTTGGTAATTGAGGCTTACTTGAAAACAACCTTTAGGAAATGTTCCGGTAGATTGAGATAAATTATCAAAAAATCTCTACATCACTTTTCAAAAGGAATTCATAAACATGTTGCAATTGATATGCAAACTGTAGGCATCCCTTTTGATCTATATAGAACCACAAAATAATTGGTTAATTAATGGCACCGGACTAAGAGAAAATGAGAAGTAAAAATGAGCCACGACAGGGGAATATCCAAGTTCAAAGACATAGGCTCTATCAAATCTATTTACTACTGATCAACTTTACAATAATCAACAAACAACAAACACTACGGCAGTTCGAAATTCATTAACATCAAACGCAAAAGCGACACACCGCCTTTGAAGTCTTTGTTTGAAGTCGCCGACTTTATGGTATATGTTGCTTAAATACTGGAGGTTGACTGATTAAGAAAACGTTTGTCAACTGTTTGATGTTTAAAAGTTGTTGCTTTAAATTTAAATAAAGAACTAATGTTAAATATTACGCACTAAGAGTTTATTTGGGTGCATTCGTGTAGTTTATGATTTTTGATGAACGCAGTTCCTCAAACTGCTTCTGCATCCACCATCTAATACATTTCTATTGTTAAAGCCATGTATCCTTTGTACATACTTTTTTCTATTCATTCTGATTATGTTTTGAAAAATTAAGAATATGAATTTACAAATGTCAATAATTTTGAAATGGATTGAAGATGACAAATTTAATTTTATATCCACACTTTTTATCTGCGCGATCAGAGCGTTTTATCTACCAATTCATATTCAAGCAATATAAATGTGTACATTAAATAAGCAAAATAAAAAATCAAACCCAGTAAGATTTTTAAATTCATCTCTGTGTCAAATAACTGATTATTTTCACGGTTTTCACGGATCTTTGCAGTATAAAAATGTCATCCCTTTGATCCACAATGATGCAGTTCAATTGACGAGAGTAAATCGGTAATACCTCGTATAAAACATTAACATTTTACGCTACATTTTTACACTGCAATCAATTTTTAGATCTTGTCAATCATAAAAATCTGTTTAATACACTGAAAGCAATTAAATGTGACGGTATTTAAGGATTTATAGGTGGTATTAAAGTATGACTTTTGACTGCAAATAGTTAGATTTGAAGGCTTCAAATGAAAAAAAAATGGAATCTTATTATACATTTATATATTTAATGATAAATAGGAAAAAAATTGCTCATGTATTTTTAACTACAAGCAACTATTGTTGTTTGTTTTAAAAACCACACTCTTTGTCAAAATAAATGCGCGTCAATCAAAAAAAGTTATAAATTTTATTTCACTCACTAAGGTAATTAACTCTTTAACTAGAAGTGCTTTAAATAACAGCATTAACTCTACTAATTACAGACATAGGTGTATTTGTTGCAACACTACCTCATAGAAGCAAACACTAGAAATTGAATAAACGCATATAGCTAAATCACAAAAAGCTGCTTTGGAATGATGGTTATTTATCCTGCCATACAAGGTTAAATGGTATGCCATTCTGACAGATAACAACTTATTAGACGAGCTTTCTGTTCAAACTGTTCAAATAACAAGAGTTTTGTTCAAATTTATCAGCCAGCCAGACATCATTCAACTAAAATTTTCTATGTATGGAAAAACCAGTAACTAATTTGTCCATACTTCCAGCATCAGCCAACTAGAATTTTCTTTATCTACAAGACAGTAACAAATTGTCCATACTTTAAGCATCAGCTAGGCAAACTAAAATTTTTACAACAGAACAGAAACAAGTTATGCCTTACCATGAACACCTGACGCACCGTTCGCAAAGAATATTTTGATGTTTCTCTTCTTAAAACCATTTTCTCGTAACATCCAGTAGAATAACTCGACATTTCTTAGGTGTCTGTTTCCTGTGGTCTGACGATTCCAGCCTCCAGAAATGATGACAGCTTGATCGCAGATTTCAAACAATCTACAACTTGTATGAACCGTCTCTCGAGTTGTTGAACAACGCTGTGTGTTATCTCGTATTGGATTACAAATCAACTCGGTCGTATCTTCGAGTCTCCTCAACACCGGACAAAGTCCGAACCCGGCAAACTTTGATCGGCACTGTAAATGGTTTTCTCGTTTTTGTGGAAAAGATTCAGTGGTTTTGTCTGATTTATCAATCTGTACAACAGGTAAGAAATTTATTTCGCATCTTCGTGCATAATTTCGCCTTCGAAATCGTCTTTCTAATGCATTTTTACACCTTTTCCTCAATGCTAAAGTCATGCACTGCATGTTACCTGAAAAAAGAAGATAAAATGGTATTAATTCACATTGGATCAAATTTTCAGGATGTAAGTGCAAGGAAAAATAAGGACGCATTTCTAAGTCTCATACGTAAGGGTTATGACACATCTTAAGCAATTTATGTGAATTGTTAGTGCCATATGCGAGCTTATTTGTACTCTCGCCAATATTCTTACAATTTGAAGCATTTCTTTCAATTTTCGGATTTTATTTCAAAGATGATAGATTTAAGCAAGCTTGAATGACTGCAACAGTTTAGCTATAATAAAACGTTGAAATCTCTATATTTACATTTTGGCTGTACAGTACTTTAGCATGGACGAAATAGAAATAACAAAAGAAACAAGATATGGCTGAGACAGTATGATTTTTATAACAAGTTATCTTATTGATATCAAAATTTAATTTGAGATAAATTTAGGCCCTTTTGCATCATATAACCCTTTATAAAGAATTATCACTCGAATAATTCAGTAGTATCCTTATTTAAATACAATGAAGTAATCTAATACTGCCTGCCAACAAAACTAAACTCGATGAAAAATAAGTCTTGTTTCGTAAACATTTTGCATAGGAATTTAGAGAGAACAAGACTCTTTTCTGCTGCACGTATGATTAAACTAACAAAACTTTTATGGAATGTCGGATATGTACGTGACCAAATCGATCCATTTGAACTGATAAAGGAATTATAATTCACACGTTAAAAAATTTAAAAACTGTAACGATTCAGATAACATATGCAGTCCAAAAAGTCCTTCAACAATCGCGTGCAGGGTATGGATTTATCAGGAGACTTGAACTATTGAAACGAGTATGGTATGCCGTGAATTATATAAAAATCAAGGGGTAAACCTAGCATAGAGATTAGTTCAAAGATTGGGACGAAACCTACAGCGGCGTACAAAATGACGAAATTGGATCTCTCTCGATTTTCGTCAACAGCAGATGCAGAAAATATGATACATTATAATGATCACGAAACAAATTTTATGCTCTTTTTGAATCAATATAACTTTCAACGGTCCACCCACATTGAATATCTAACATTTCAACGGAGTATGACTCGTACCATTGCACTCAGATTCAATGGTATTTAGAGCGTCTCATAAAGAAATATAAACACTGTAAACGGAACTACGGAACTGTACAATCTCGCTACAAACAAAAAACAAGACCGGAGAAACTGTAGTCGAGCAAGAAATAGAACGTGCGATACGTGACAAGGAAGCGTTTTCTGAAATATTTTCGACTGCTTTTATCGGTTAGGGTTTGGACTGTGCCTCTTCTTAGACAAAGTGTTTTATTAATTTCTTCTATTTAGTCTGAACTTAGAAATGTTCCCACTATCGCTGCTAGGTTTGAACTGAAAGGCAACAGGGTGTTTTTCCTGAGATAGACTTACTTACATTGATATCAGTAAAATTTGGTAATTATTTGATGAAATGTATTGATGCTTCATCTGATCTTATTTACTTTCTTTGATGATCAACCGAAATTCACATAAGTATGATTGTTTTGAAACACAAAACAATAACATATAGCAGCTCAAGGTTATCTTAATGCATCAACACTTCATGTTCATTTTTGTGAACGTTTAAAATCGTTCTAATTTGTAAATAATGTTATCAAGCGTACAAATAAAGTGATTAACCTTTACCTAAAGTGCTTACTTTCCTCAGATGTTACATATAAAATTACGAAATGTGCAAAAATGAATCTTGCAAAATTAAAAACGGTGTAAATATTTGGTAATGAAAGTAGTAAAATTTCTACTATTTTTTATTCTAAATATGCCGATTTTCAAATAGAGTGTGAGCATTTTATACTTTCTATAAAGTTTTTTCTCTCTATCGATTCCCCTAGAGCTTTAACAATTAAAAACAATTGTGACATTTCTGTACTTAAAGAGGAAATACAAAACGATTATATAAAAGTATGAGGCGGTAATTTAAAAGAGTTATAAAGCTATCATCACATTACACTTCAAAGGCATGGACGCAATAAAATAAATTCATTGAACAGCTTCACTTTCCAGTGAAATAAATCAACAGATACAGTGAGCTTAAGTATTATCTCAGAAGGAATATCTCAATGTTAAATGAATCGTAAAACTTGAACCTCTTAGTCTACTAGCGGGGACTGAATCTACCAGTGCGACTGCTGCAAACTATGATCAACCAAACTAGTGAAAGCTAATCATTATTTGCACCGTTCGCGATTCAGTACACATTTTTAAATATTTTTTAAAAATGTCCCCTTGTGTCGGAGGGGTTGCCTTTAATCGGTCGGTCTCAGGATTGTAGCCACCGTTTAACCCTATCATAAGGGGCGACCAAATGGGTTCGAATTACTATGTATCTCTAAGCTCCAAAAGGTGAGGTGGTTATGGCTCCTTGTGTTGCTTTAAATTTGTAACACCCGAGCTTAGTCAAAATCATCTTTCCTGTTTCGGCGTCATATGATCTAAACTGTATTGATGCGGCGTAAAAACAAAATCTTTGTACATAAATGATAACGGTTTTTTGTCCAGATCGAAAGATGGAAAAGTCTATTTCGATAATTTAGATGTTTAGATAGGTTAATATGGGTTAATAACATTACATCTTTAGATAAAGATATTTTACATAATATTTTGACAGGTTTCACAATTTCCGGTATAAATTTAAAATTAGTTTAATCATATATCGGAATATAAATTAAATCAAATATAATGATGTAAAGGAAACATTTATATTATGTTATTATACTCGATATTCGAAGACCGCATTTGATTTAGAAGGAGAAGCTTTGATCTCAAAGAATTGAAAAGAAACCAAAGAAGTTACTTATGTAAATATGGAATACATGTTTATCACGAATTTATCTTCTAGAACTTTAAAATTTTAGAATTTGTTACTTAAATTGATATAATTAATATTAAATTCTAAAAGATGCTAAGCAATCAGAAATAGATACTTGTATCTCTTTTTGTGTTTAATAAGGTAAAATTATAATATCACCGAAAAGGATAATAGTTTCCCATGAAGAAAAAGTTTCTTGAAGTGTTTTTATTTAATATGATTTTTTTTATTATTTTTTAAATTAAAATAATGAAATTACATTAAAAACCCAAAGAAATAATAATTTGCAGCGCCGTATTCTTTTTATAATATATAATGTCTTCATACTAATATGAAACGTATGCCCTCACTTGTCAAGGTGCGAAGCGATGACTCAAGGTCAACAAGGGAACACAGCCCCCGAAAAAACCTAGTCTGAACGGCAAGGCACACATTACGTGACCAATCCAAAAAAATATGGGAAGGGAAAAGACCGGAAAAGGGAGGGGAAGGACGTACCTGTTTTTTTGTGGACTGTAGTGAAAAGTGTCCTGTTAATATATTTTATTTTAAAGTAATTAAAGTACAGAAGAGAACAAGAAAGATAAGGACAATTGTAAAACAAAATATAAAGATTTATTTTATCTTGCGTAATATATCTCGTTTTCATTTGCATGAATACAGTGTGAAATATATCGTGTTGTCAAATGCACGACTAAAAGCTGTCATTAGTCGTTTGATGTAGATTATCACTATAAAATAAAAGGAAAAAGAATTTTTACTTTGTTGTTAAAGAAGCATAATAAATTTCTCTTGAAGATAGTACAGATGCGTTTCTATGAAGCGTGTTGATTACTGCTATAAACCTATAAACGTGCAAATGACTGCACCATCAAAACTACCGTAAAGATACATAAAAAGCAATTCACTGTACCATGAAAAATACGGTGAAAACGATCAAACGCGGATTGTTTTACTTATAAAGCTATCTTCTTAAGGTCTTTTGGCAAAGTAGGAGGTAGAATTGATGGTTATTCATCAAATATTTTGTACAAGGAGGTTTAATATAAACGGCAATTTTACAATTAATGGATTAAATGGAGCACTAGCTTCACAAAAAAAACCTCTCCAGTGTCGCTCACCCCCAAGGTGGGGTAATGATTAAGAAGACACTTTCACTGCATAGACAACAAGCTTAAAATGTGACAGGTTCATTATCAACATACTAATGCAATATTTTCTTTTATCTATAAAATTTTAACTTTACATTTACTTTCCATTTTGTTTTTATTTATTACACGCAGTTTAAAAGAACCCGTCTGTTTTTTTTTCATTTTTTTTTTAGTTTGAGTCTGAGTTTGCAGGCATACTTCATATATAAAGCTTTGCAGTCAAAAGCAATATTTCTAGTATAACCAAAATTAAATTATAAATCAATTAACAAATTAATAAGAAACCTATTGAAATTGAAAATATTAATTTTTTTACTATCCTGATTGTTTACAAACGTATACTTTGATCATTCAAATGTCTATTTATTGTATAATAAATTGAAAAAAACAAATTGATAGAATTTGTTATGATACTTGTTGCTTGTAGGGGGCCATGTTGCCAGATTTTGACATCAATTCGACCCCATACATAAAAATGCATATTTGTATTGAGAAAATCTTGTCAGGGGTTTACTTGTTAATTCAATGTTTATCTTAAATCATATTCTAATATTTTGCTTTCTTTGTTAAGACACGTTTATCTAAAATTTTAAGATTGTAAGTCCTTGACGAAGATAATTTAGTAAACTTAGTGGGAAGTCAGTTTTCATACAAAATGATTTAAAATTGGAGAATAAAGTTTGTCTATTTTAATGAAATTTGTTTTCCAATGAACATTGGATGGTGGATGATCATCGAAATTTGAGTCCACTTCCGATTTTTTTCTAAAAATTTGTCTTAAAAGCTGTAAAAAGTTGCCCCGTGCTTCACTTCAGTGTTGTTATATTTTCTAGTCCTTCGGAATCATTGATGTCAGCGCTATTAAGTGTCGAGAATAGAGTACCGCTCAAGTCGGTGCTAGGGGGCGTGAGGAATGTTGCACTTATTCATTATCCCTCATGTACAGACTCAATGAAACCGAGTCTGCAAATTTCATGTTTGATGTGATAAATGCTTCCAGGGATTATTTTGTTTCCAGATTTTTAAACTTAAGACATTCATTACGTATATATTATTCGTATCGAAATACGTAAGCTCGACAATGTTAGATGATTTGCCCTCATTGACATAAAATATATGAATAAATAAATAACTGACCAAGCTATGTTATATATAGGGGTGTACAATAGCGGGATGAATTGAAAGAATATTGATCTAGAACTTGCATTATCAAACAAATAAGCCATCAATATAATATTTACGGGATATGAACAAGTTTAACATGTCTTATGTACTTGTATGTTATGAGATTCAATGTACATAAATAAGGGGTTAAAATGTTATCATAGCTGTTTCATTTCTTAAATCAAAGGTGACCTATTGCAAATTAAAATTTAAAAGATATCATTATAGATAATTTGAGTATTTGGAAATGTGATAGTTTGATTGCATAATTAGGGTGCACTGAGCGCAAAGCCCTTGACCGGGAAACTTGATATTCAGGTATAGCTTTTTCAGGTATATATTTCGTTATAGTAATATGACCTTTGTACCACATATTTCATTTAAAAAAAAACATTTTGAATAATGATACTAAATTTATGGCTTTAAGAGTTTTATAATCCCTTGTATTTTATGTATATAATATATAATTTAACTTTTATTATGTCACTAATAATTACACAAATAAAAAGCGGTAATATTTATATATAATACAAGGGCTCTGAACTTCTGTTAAATTATTGTATTATAGTTGTTAAAGGTTTAAAAGTGTTTATCAAGACTGATATAAATTTGCTTTCAAGTCATTTGCGAGGTACAGTTTATTGGGATTAATAATGTATAGTTTTGAAGAAAAAATATATATGAAAAAAAAAATCATTAGAGAAATTATTACAAAGCATGATCTATGTATCAAATAACATTTACAATAAGGAATTCAAATAAAAAAAAAGAGTTCCACTTTTTAAAAGATATATTCATATAGATAATTTCGATTTAAGATGAAAGTAAATTTTACAACATGAAAGGCAGTTTTAATTACTTTTCATACAATATTACCATTGTTCGTCCATAAAATTAGTTATTCTTTTGATACGACTTATTATGATTATAGATATGAACCCTCTTATCTCTATGTTACATAACAAAACATTACTGTTTGGTGAAAATGCATAAATTAAAATACAAATGTTTGTATACAAAATACTTTAAAGTGACGTATAATTTCATTTATATTTTAGATATGAATTATGAAAAAAATGGTTCAGTAAGCATTGTTATGTTATACTTGATAGATATTTAGATTGAAACTGGCTGTTTCATCTTGGTTTGTCCACACTAAGTCTCTCCTGTGAATAATTGCGGTAGATATTGTCTCTTGTTTCAAATTGGGTCTCAATTAGCCAACTGCTATTGATCCACCCTAATACTAATCATCATAAACACAATATACTCAAATACACGAAAGTTGACGCGGGCGCCTTTAAGATTTGAAATCCCTTTGATGTACGCTTGTTTTATTTATCAAATGTGGTGGATATATCAAGTAATCGGCTTATTTCATTATTTAAAGTCTTTAATCTGTGTTTGTCAGAGGGCCAGCTTTTGAGTGTCCTTCTATGTAATACAGGACTCGGGGATAGTCGAGCTTAACTTTCGTACAATCCGACAGCTCGCACCAAGTTAAACAGTTATGAGAAAAATTATCACATATCAAAAGATGAAATGTGATGTGTGGGCCTTTCATGCTGTATCATATTTAATTCATCCTCTGTATACGTTTCATTTATAACTTTCTAACACATTAATTATGCATGCAGGCCTAATCGTTAATCATATAACAATTTTCGACTACATAACAATGTATTCTCTATATTTTTAGGCAAGTTGACTCCACCAGCATCCATAATTGCGCTTTAAAATTTCCTTTGAAGAGTAATAATATGAATAATGTACGACAATAATTTCAAACATTATGTATTTTTCAACATTTTAACATGATTAATATCGGTATGGTTCTTTGGTGTAAGTTTATGTTTTAAAAAAGGAAGAGAAGAAATAGCATTAGCATATTATAAAAAATGTTGCTGCTACTGTATTTTAAGAGAATAACTTTGAGATATGAGTAAAGTTATCACACCTGAGCCATCGTATTCAAATGATGATAATTGAGCAGAGATCTCACTGTTAACTTCATTTATCTAGCATAAACTAGAACATCTAACAGTGTGTGATAACGTTTCTACTACTTTCATCTTATCATTTACATTGTTATTATTATGATACGCTTTGTTGTATGGCTATGTAAGATCTAGATATGTAGATGTATTAAGTTCATCCCCAGTTAACTTTGAGTTTCGACAGGTTGTTGCTACAGCACGATGACAGTGCTAATTTTGACGAAATATAAATAGAATTGCTGGGAACAATTCTTTAATTCTCAGCAAGCAAGCAAGTTTGTAGAGGTATTTTCCTGGTAACGTTAGCAATATAATATATTGTTTTTGCATTTTGAGATTAGGAACCACTGATTTGGAGAGGAGCTTTATGATATTGTTTGAAACAACTTTTTTAAAGGTTCAATATGGTTTCTTGTTACTTTCATATTACTATCTTTAAAAGAAGGAGTTACTGTGCGAAACAATCGTGCAAGACTTTAAACCTACCTAAATTACGCCCTTCTCTCTGATGACAGTCATTTGGTGTTACATTATTATCCACATAGAACACTATCACTAAATGTCCAAAGTTTGCAAGCGGATATGGGTCCACAACGACGACGGCGTCGTGACTTTCAGACCGTGTTAAAGGTTCGTCGGGGAGGTATGTTTTATATTTATATCCAAATATGGACGGAGTAGCAATATACACGTTCATTCTGTGTCTGCTTATAGTCACTAATTCTTTACATTCTCTCTTAGTTGTAAAGAAAGCGTCAAGGGTGTCACCACAATCCAAACTGTTTATATATCTGAATGCAGCGTCTGCCCATTTCTCCTCGCCTCTCGTATACTGAAAGAATGAATCTAGTCTTTCAGAACTGTTTTCTATATATTTCATAGCTGCACCATTCACTCTTACAACCATGGCAAACTCTGTAAGAATCAGAGATAATCCCCAAACCAACGTCCGAGACATTTTACTTCACTGTGTTTTTTTCCCCTTGATGTTTACCTCCACACTTTATATACTCATATATGTTTCACTTTTAATACGGTTCCAACATTACTATAACTGGCTTTGAAAACATTTCTATTTATTTTTTTCTTAATGAGACTTTAAAATATGTTCTTATCTGTTAACGTTACATTGCTTTTCGCTGAATGAAAGTGTATAGAATTGTTTTGTTTTAGTAGTTTTCCAAAGTACAAACAATATTTTTCAATTAAATTCAAGTGTGTGCTTTGAGATATATCTCTCTGTTACCCAGAGAAAGTAAATATTACATTACAACTCGCCAATCTATTAAACAAACCGTTATCTTTAAACCGACATAAATTAACTTCAAAGAAGTAATTCAATTAATTTGTAAAATAATACGAAAATTGTCTATTTCTATTGAAAACTGATAATATTCAAACAACCGATATAGATTGTTCTGTCTTAGCACTTCTCCGCCTATTGTAAGATTAACCTTTTCAAAATCACAAATGCTTCGCATCCAATATCTTAATCCATTAATGGCAATGCACTGATAAAATGTTCCTTTTATATGACAACGTTTTATGCTTCATTCAAAATCAACACAGAAAATACCTTTCGGTCATTATTTATTCACTGAAGTCGAAATCAAAGGGAATGCCGACACATAAAATGAAAAATAATATCGCGGATTTTAATTACAATGTTAATACAATTATTATCGTGAATGGTTTTACAGTCACCCAATCGGCAGTGTAGAGCGATCTACAACCATCGATTTCATTGGATGGCGTACAAGCCAGGTAAAATTGTAAACATTGTCGGCGTCCCTTTGATCTCAGATCTCCATCAAAGGTAAATTGACCGAAGACTGGGAATGTCCGGACAAAAATCGACTGATGTCTGCGTAAACTTAACTAAACTAACTATTCATAATATTATACATAAAGTGCAAATTTAAATATACAATGTTGTCATGATATTTTGTTATTGTTTAATATGCATCACCTCACTAACTGTTCTTTTTATTAAATTGAAAGTAAAACTCATCTTAAGTGCTATTAAATAGCTATTAGCTAATTTCTTTATAGTTGTAATTAAATAAAGATAGATACATTATGGCAAAAAATGTATTTAGTATGGTTTATGTAACGTTAAAAGCTATTTCGCTGTACGACAATTTGCGTTTTCCCACTCTGTATAGTTAGAGCCGACTGAAGCGTCTTTGAGGACATTATTTGTTATAAGTTTTGTGACATAAAAAAACATTTATTGGGAAAGTACATCTTTTGTACCTATTTATTACTTTGAATATATTTTTCATTAAATCTAAAGTTATTATATAAAGTAACAACTTCTTTTATTTCTATTTTAGGTCACCAAGGATTTAAAAGAAACATTTCGTCTTGAAGCAATTTGGATTGAAGAATCAGAAAATTTTGAATAACTTGAAGAAACCGTACGGTAATGTAGTCACAGATTATCTGTTTCCTAGGTTGATAATATCTCTGACGCAAAATACGACAAAGAGGTGAAAAGACTTTTCATTCCTTTTTTTGGAATTCAAGTAAGTCGTCAAGTAAAATCTAATATTTACACATGTAACATTTCGGCATAAAAAATTCACAGAGTAGGCATTGTTAATGAATATATGCACATGCTCGTGGTCTCAACAGCAACATTTTATACAATCAATTAACAACAAAAGATTTATTATGAATGTTAGAGTAAGCTATAAAATACATTTGATTTCTGCAATTGAGAGTGAAAAATAAAATTAGTATACAATCAGTTTTATCAGTTTTGATGTTTTTGTTTGTTTTCAATTATGAAACATTTTTATCTGTTACTATTTCGCAATATTTACAATTCGGTTGAGGTTAAATCAACAAATTATATGGAGTTACATTTGATACAGCGTACAATATTCAACAATAAAAAATCTGAAATAACATGTCTGTTGTTATTTTGTTATTATACAGATCCTTAATATCTCATAACAAGCCTGACAAAATATGAGGAGGTGCTTTTTTTTTATAAGTTAAGGATTTATAAATGTGTAAAATGTTGCTTAAATATAAATATTATCATATAAGTATGTTCCATCAATTTGTATTTTGTAGTCGGAATCATGTTATACATAACTAAAAACATTTTATTCAATGCCGTTTTATACATCATTGCCAAATATTTTGAACAGCCAGTTTCTTAAAGCCGTGTCACACAACTGATCTAAGACTATAGGTATAAAATGATATTGAAATGAATAAAGTTGACTCTTCTCTTTTAGAAGTAAGCTAAAATTTTATGCATGTAACTAGTATGATAACAAATAAAGCAACATTACTTTTAAAATCATTTTTATTCCCCACTTTAATAGCTCGTATATCGTCTTAAATGGGACTGTTCAGTGTGTTACAACTATACAAGTAACTTTAATGTAAACATAACTTAAAATCTGTGTTTATAAGATAAACTTAACGAGGCTAAGGTATACGGCGATTTGAACGATTAGAGAAGTGTACAACCGTAAATTTAACATCCTACCGAATACAGGACTAACCTACCATTCACAAAAAGCGATAAACCGTCGTGAATCTTGTAATTTAGGCAATAATCCACTCTTAGTTATCGCATTATGCGATTAACATGTTGCGATGAATTATACGCGGATTTTCTTTCATCTCGCCGCACTTAAAACACTGATATGGCACTTTTTGAATAAAGACCAAATCAAATGAATGTGATTCAAATATTAGCAGGTGTGAAAAGACATGGAGAATAAGAAGTTGTTTATTTTAAACCAATTTCAGAATGTAGTGCACTGCATTCAGCCTGTTTATTTATAGTTGAAAGGCGGGACTTTTATCTTTAATTTTACATAAGAACTAGGTCTAAGAACTTCTATGTTATATATTTTTATAGATTAACTCACTACAAATACGTATTGATAGAAATAAAGGTATTTGATTTTTTTTACATTCGTTAATTAGAATAAAAAAGGGTGGGGCCGTTATATTTAATGAACATCATTATAGCTATTGACAAATATATACAATTGGATACTTCAGGAAAATTAAAAATCTGAATACAATTATTATGTCCAATGTTCCATTAATGAATATTTTCTCCCTGCATTCAACTTAAAATTGCACAATGAACATTGCTTTCAGTAAAACCTTGCCGACGTAATCCGAAAAACAAGGCCAATTGTTATCAAGCGGTTGGTAGTAAGCCAAAAGAAAGTGCAGGTAAAAATGAAATTAAATGTATGTTTTATTCTTTCTGCTGAAATGATACATTAGCAAAGTAAATCATGGATTAAAGCAGTATATTTATCAAAATTTAAAATTTAAAAAAAAAGCAAAAGGTAACGTAAACGCCGCATTAATCATGAATTTACATCAGCAACAAATGTGTAAATACACGTTTAATCATCGAATAGTTTTAAATTGGATATACTTATAGCAGCTGTTTTAAAGTTTAAAGTTTAAACGTTGCCTCATTCACAATCTAAGAGGTAAATCTTTATGGTCCATCGTGATCACTGGCAACGTTGAAGATTTAACTTTGGTGCTGTAATATGCATCCAGACGCAGTGAAACCGAACCTGCAGTTTTCACCTATTTTTTAATTGCTTTCAAGCTAGCCATTCATCTCACCGCACTTAAAACACTGATATGGCACTTTTTGAATAAAGACTAAATCAAATGAATGTGATTCAAATATTAGCAGGTGTGAAAAGACATGGAGAATAAGAATTCTTTTCCAGAATTGTTTCTAATACATGTTTGATTTGAATTCGAAGGACATAAACCATTTACTGGTTGCAATATTGCCAAGCTTAAATATTGCAGACAGATATAGTGGAATCTTGTACTGTCAACGATATGTACGGAGATAAGGTTGAATTTGTAATTTGATAATAATTATGAAAAGAAATTTGTAAAAATATACAGAAATACTATTTATACTCAAACCCTATCCCATTGTCACTCATAAAAAATGAAAAAAATACAATAAAAAACTTTCTTCTTCGAAAAAATAACACCAACAAATAGAGAAAGAATTAATAGATTGTTGAAATACCTTTTACCAACCATCATCATATGAGAATTCAGACCAATCTTAAAGATAGAAGAGAAACAGTTTACGTTATAAAACATAAGCATTTCCATGTATGGTTTATACACTTAACAATATAGTTCTGGAAATTTATTAGCAACGTAGAAGAAACGGTATTACATTATTAAAATACAATTTAACAAAGCTTTATTTCGAAAAAGAAAATTAATTTTACGAAACTATTCAAATACATGCAATACATACACACAACAAGAAAAAAGAGAGGAAAGGTATTACACACATGCTCTACATATACCAAGCAAGAAAAAAAGAGGAAAGGTAAGCACAGTACATGGTTGTTACAAAAATTGCAAAACATTACAATTCTGTAGGTCGCAAGCCTTCAAATAAACAAAGATAAACATTTTGTAGTAGTCAATTCCCACATGTTTTTTTTAAATGTAGAGAAAAAAACATAATTATTCAAAAGAATGTGATCAATTTATAAGACAAACACACGTCTTGTGGAGATGTGTTTGTATTATAATGAAGGTTAAAGACTTACTCTGGGATGGGAACGATAACATTTCTCCAGTCATGGACGTATCCAGTCCCCACTGAAATGTACACCATTCATGGCAAACAGCTGGTCTTTTGATCTACGTGTTTTTACATTTGAGATTAATTGAGGATCAAAAGTCTCCCCTTTATAATGACATCTCAAATATGGTGTCATCACTTAAACCTCTGATTGATCAATGAAATTCTCATTAAAGGTGTAGTGACAAGAAGCTTTGAAGTTCAAGTTAGCATCTATTTCACATAAACAAACATAAATGTTAGCACGTTTCGGAGACCTTTTCAGACCTTCTGGTTTATCGTTAGACAGAAACATATCGTCTGTCATTCTTGATATGATCTCTGAATACATTTCGTGTTATGACTGTAATAAATATTAGTTGATTCATAAGACAAGGTAATATCGCAATCACGAAAAATAACTTACATCGAATATAACAAACGCGTGGATGAGAAATATAGGCGACGTCTAGAAATCATATCATATTATTAATTTGTACCGCTGTGATAAACAGAAAACAAAATGTTTGCATTACTTTACAATGTTAAACAAACAAACTATCAAAAGACCTTTTAAAAAGAAAAGTCATGATAGAGACATAGTGGTTGTATATGAACTTAAATACTTGACTTCAAAAAGACGAGACAGAGGAAATGTACCCTTTGATGTCTTTGATTAAGGTAATATTGCTTGTTTTAAACTGTTGTTAAATGACCAATATGTCGGCTATTATAGGTCACGAGGCTCCAGGGTAGCACGAGGTATCTTAGAAACAAATCAGCATGCGCAGTGAAATAACAGGGTAAAAACATTATATACCCCGCCCTTTTACTCCGTCTGTAATTATGTATCAATTAATAACCGCAAATTAACATTTACAATATCACCGAGGTCAGTTAATAATATTTACCCTGTCATCAGAGGTATAAAATACCCAATAAAGCGATCTATGTTTTTTATATTTTAAACATTTAATTTATTTAATTTATTCCCCTATGTATTGGCAGTATTAAAGGGGTATAATTCAAAAAGTGGTTTATGGAACATCAAATGCAAAGCTTATTTCATGTCTGCAACT